ATTTTTTCGGTATAGGGACTAAAAAGGGGCTTTTTCCTATAGTAGAGGGACCAAAAAGGGTATTTAACCAATTTTTTTTTTTTGAAAAGCAAATTCAATACTTTATTATTAGAGTACAATGGATACTCCAAACCTATTATATCATACTCTATTTACTGCAAAAACATATAACCCTCTCTATTACAATATCTGGGTAATATTGATATATAACCATGTGATGTGATCCTGTACCTAATTTTTTGTGATAAGGTGGACTTATTTTGGCAAGAGTTTTGTTCAGGCTATCCATCTTGATTGTAGTTATTATGTACAAGTTTCGCAGAAGACATTTGTCTGCAGATGATACAATTGAAGAGTTCCTTCAAAAGCAGAACAACTTCATACCTATTAAGTACTCATATTCTGAAATAAAAAAAATGACTAGAGGTTTCAAGGACAAATTAGGTGAAGGAGGTTATGGTTTGGTTTTTAAAGGAAAGCTTCAAAGTGGCAATTTAGTGGCAGTAAAATTATTGAGCAAATCAAAAGCTAATGGCCAAGATTTCATCAATGAAGTTGCTACCATTGGAAGGGTTCATCATGTTAATGTGGTGCGACTGATCGGATTTTGCGTGGAGGGATCTAAACGAGCTCTTGTGTATGATTTCATGCCAAATGGATCCTTGGATAAAATCATATTTTCTGGTGAAAACAACACATTTTTAACCTATCAAAGAATGTTTGAAATTGCCCTTGGAGTGGCTAGGGGGATTGAATACTTACATCGAGGATGTGAAATGCAGATTCTACATTTTGATATCAAGCCACACAACATCCTTTTGGATGAGAATTTTAATCCAAAAGTTTCAGATTTTGGCCTTGCAAAATTGTATCCGACAGATGACAGTATTGTATCTCTTACTGTAGCAAGAGGTACTCTAGGATACATGGCTCCAGAATTATTCTACAAGAATATTGGAGGCATCTCATACAAAGCTGACGTCTATAGCTTTGGATTGTTGTTGATGGAAATGGTGGGAAGGAGAAGGAACTTAAATGCATTTGCTGATCATACAAGTCAGATATACTTCCCAAAATGGATTTCTGAACGTTTTGATCAGGGAGAGGATATAGAGTTGGGAGATGTTACTGATGTTGAAAAGAATGTTCTGATGAAGATGGCCATAGTTGCCTTGTGGTGCATACAAATGAAACCTGACATTCGTCCTTCCATGACCAAAGTCTTGGAGATGCTTGAAAGTGAAATGGAGCTCCTTGAAATGCCTCCCAAGCCTACTTTTGTTCCTTCCGAATCGCCAGCTCCAGATCATGGTGGTATAAGTCTAGCAACTACGCCAACTATGTCCCTTGATGCTAGATCATAATAGTCTACTCCAAATGCATTTCTAGGTAGATGCGCATTCACAGCTAGTTGCATTGAATATTGTGTCATGATCCAGTATTGTTGCTTTGGTAGATTACCTACTCAATTTTCTTCCTGTAAAATATATCAAATTCCTCGTGCCATTTTTCTATCTGTGAATTGCAAACTATTATTTGAATCAATCTAATCGTTGCCAGAATTATGTTATCTTTTAGCAGTAACATGTTGAGTAGTATTTTACATAAACTGCCCTCTTGGTCCATCAACTTAGTAATCAATTTCATTTGGGTTCCTTGACCTTGTAACTTACAAGAAATAAACACTGGTGTCTTTTGTTATGTAAAGGGTTTTGGTTTGTTTAATCTGGTTACATTCCCATTTCCAAAAGTTGGAAGGCGAAAGGCACGTTAATTCCTGTCATAACTCCATTTTTGCTTTGCAGTTAAAATCTATTTTGGTCCTCTATTTTAATAAAAAAAAAATTTAGTTTTCCTATTTAAAAAAGTTTTTTTTTTGGTTTTTAAATTTTAAAATCCGACTCTCCATTATTTTATGCACATGTGATATTTTAAATGATAAAAATTCTAAAGTAGAAAGGTTAAAAAAAGATAAAAAAAAGATTGTTTTTAGTCCATTTATTTTAAATATATATTTTTGGTCTCTTCACTTTAGAAAAAGGTTTTTTTTTAGTTCTTTTATTTTAAAATTTTTGTTATCTAATATAACATTTATGGAAAAAGATAACGAAGACTAAAAGAAAGTTAGATTTTAGTTTTTAGGATAATAAAAGACTTTTTTAAATAGAAAGACTAAAAAATTTTTTTTTGTTAAAATAAAAGAACTAAAAATGAATTTTAATTTATTTTTGCTAAAATTTTGATCTTTCTAAATTATTAATTTCTCATAAATTTTTATGTTTTGAATTATAATATGAATTGAGAAGTTACTTGAAAATTTTGTTTAAAGAAAAATCGAGACTAAAATCTAAATAATGTTGCTTTGTACCAAATTAAGAAAATTTAAAATGGAGGTTCTATTTCGATGGGACTTAAATGAAACAGGGACTAAATTTGAGGACTAAAATGACATTTAAGGAAATATTACAGACTGAAGTGCAAATCGATCCAAAAAGGGCTAACCTGCCATTCTCGGCAAAACCTCATCCAGATCTGGTTTCTCCCTCTCCCCTTCTCGTTCGCTTGCCGACCAACCGGCCCCAGTTCTCGGACAGCCTCACATCAGGCAAAGCGCAGCCCTCCCCGTCCTTTGCTTTTCCTGAAGAGAGAGCAATGCTTGTCGGTAGGGGAATGGGTCAACTTTGTGCCGTCCGCCCAACGGTGAATAAAACAGGGGAGCAATCAAAGGGCTTAAAAGAGGAGAGAATAAGCAATCTGAGGAAATCTTAGGTTTTTGTTTCAAAGTTTTTGTATAAATAGAGATGGAGAATTGGAGAGAAGGGGGCGGACAAAAAAATCGAGCCGAGAAAAAAAAGGAGGAGATCCCAGAGCCTTGGGTGCCGGCGGAAGGAGGAATTTCTTGAGTGCCCTATTGCTTGTAATCTGATCTTTGAGGTACAATACTCGTCCCTTTCCAATTTCATGTAATTTATTTACAATGAAATAAGAAATTGATTAAGTTTTTGCTCTGCAATCATTTTCTGTTGATGTTGTGAATATCTGAATTCATCGAGTTTCAGGTATTGACGCAACATTGGGTCTCCCTAATTCCAGATTCTATACATCTTATCTTGTCTGCGCCTCTTATTGTGGAGACTGCTGCTTTATGAATTAATTTTGATCCACTGTGCTCCCGGATTATGTGTTTGTGTAAATTCCTCCTTACTTGTGAAGTCATGATTTTAGATTTTTGTATACGCGTGGTGTTGCTTTCCTTCTCTGGACATTTTGCATTCTAATAGTTTGAAGGTTTTCATATTTTCCTGATGCATCCATTTCAGATTATAGTCTTCCAAAGCCATGATTCTGGTTGAAATTCCATGCCTTCCTTCATGATTCTTCCATGTTTTCTTGCTGTGGCAGACTCATTTTCTTGGAGCCAAAGTCATTTTTAGTGGGG